TACTTTACATGTTGCCTGTACTTTAGATGTTGTTCTTACTTTACATGTTGCCTGTACTTTACATGTTGTCTGTACTTTAGATGTTGTACTTACTTTACATGTTGCCTGTACTTTATATGTTGTCAGTACTTTACATGTTGCCTGTACTTTACATGTTACCTGTACTTTACATGTTGCCTGTACTTTACATGTTGTCTCTACTTTACATGTTGTCTCTACTTTACATGTTGCCTGTACTTTGTTGTCTGTACTTTACATGTTGCCTGTACTTTACATGCTGTTTGTACGTTACATGTTGTCTGTACTTTACATGTTGTCTGTACTTTACATGTTGTCAGTACTTTACATGTTGCATGAACTTTACATGTTGCCTGTACTTTAGATGTTGTTCTTACTTTACATGTTGCCAGTACTTTACATGTTGTCTAAACTTTAGATGTTGTTCTTACTTTACATGTTGCCTGTACTTTATATGTTGTCTGTACTTTACATGTTGCCTGATCTTTACATGTTGCCTGTACTTTAGATGTTGTTCTTACTTTACATGTTGCCAGTACTTTACATGTTGTCTGTACTTTAGATGTTGTTCTTAATTTACATGTTGCCTGTACTTTACATGATGTCTGTACTTTACATGATGTATGTACTTTATATGTTGTCTGTACTTTACATGATGTAAGTACTTTGCATGTTGTCTGTACTTTACATGTTGTCAGTACTTTACATGTTGTCTGTACTTTACATGTTGCCTGTACTTTACATGTTGTCTGTACTTTACATGTTGTCTGTACTTAACATGTTGTCTGTACTTTACATGTTGCCTGAACTTTACATGTTGCCTGTACTTTAGATGTTGTTCTTACTTTACATGTTGCCTGTACTTTATATGTTGTCAGTACTTTACATGTTGCCTGTACTGTACATGTTGTCTGTACTTTAGATGTTGTTCTTACTTTACATGTTACCTGTACTTTACATGTTGTCTGTACTTTAGATGTTGTTCTTACTTTACATGTTGCCTGTACTTTACATGTTGTCTGTACTTTACATGTTGCCTGAACTTTACATGTTGCCTGTACTTTAGATGTTGTTCTTACTTTACATGTTGCCTGTACTTTATATGTTGTCAGTACTTTACATGTTGCCTGTACTTTACATGTTGTCTGTACTTTA